AGGTTTTTGCTATAGGGCACGTGTGCTTGCTGGAAGGACAGAGACAAACAGAGAGACAGAAAGTGAGAAATCACCCCCCATGGGAGATGGCCATGCCACAATCTCTTCTCCATTCTCAAGATCTTGAGCATGCACACACATGTGCCTGGCATGAATTTAAGCCACTTGGTCTAGGACTCAAACTGCAGTCGACTACATGGGAGTCCAGTGACATAGCCATTACACCAACTACTGGCCCCTAAATTAAAATAATTCTTAAAAAAAATAAGTCTCTATAACTCTAAAAAGAGGTGGAGTTTATGATCTCAAAATTAAGTCTAACCTGAGAAGCGACCGTTGAAAGCCTGGCCTCAAGGTCCCCAAGTTCCTTTCTCTCCCACATTTGTGATCTTCACTCCATCCTTTTGGTTAGGTGAGTGTGAGGTGCAGCCTCCTAAAAAAAAAACAATCTCCTAATAATCGAGGTCCTTAACATTCTACTGCAACCCCATTGCAGGTGGCGTTCTGCCCTTTGGACGCATCAGAGAGGTCCCTGCTGGCCGACCAGGAAGACAGTCTGCCCAAGCTCTGCAGCGCCTGGGGGCTGCATGGCAACATCAGTGGCATGAAGGAGAGGCTGTCCAGGATGCAGGCGCCAGGCCGAGAGACCTCCCTGCTGGGGGAGCCATGGCCTCAGGGCCATGACGGGAGAGGTAACCGCTGTCTGGTGTGAGGGCAGTGCCTGGACAAGGGGCTTTGCAGCTGCTGTCTGGGCGTTTCCCCAGAGCAGACTGTGCCCTGAGCCCAAGTTCCCCTTCTTGCCTTTCCATCGTCTCTCATCCTTCATTTTTCTTGCCGTCCTTCTTTCCTTCCCCTTCTTCACTTTTTGCTTTTCTCTTTTAGTCTTTCCTACTCCCCATGTCTCAGTATGCTCATTATAGAAAGTTTCTTTTTTCTTTTTAAAATTAATTTATTATTTTAAAAATTTGACCAGACACAGAGAGAGAGAGAGAAAAAAAAAATGAGAAAGCCAAGTTGCCAGGTCAAAGACTTGAACTGTGCTTGGCAATGTAGGAGTCCAGTGCCTTAACCACCACACCACCTGCAGGCCCCTCATTGTAGAAAGTTTAAAATATGCAGATAATGGTTAAAAAGAAGAGAGAGGCCCCGCTATGGTGGCGTGCACTGGTTATGTTACCTGCTGGGCAGGCTGAGGTCACCCGGGCGGCCTGAGTAGAAGCCTGGTGAGAGCCATATACCTGCATTCCTGGCTACTCAGCCTTAGGTTGGAAGGTGGTGACAGAGAAAGACCATCTTAAGTGGTCAGGGTTGGCGCTGTGGCCTGGTAGTTAAGGGAGCCAGATCCCACATGGTCAACCATGTTGTTTGAATCCTAGCTTCAGTGGCTTGAAAAACACACTGAATGTGTGTGTGTGCACGCTCATGTGTACCCAGAATCCTGACAGGATGGAGAAATGGAGAAGGGATTGCAGCATGACCATGTCCCATTGGGAGGGAGGCTTTTTCTCTCTTTCTCTCTCCATCTCTCTCTCTCTGGCAAGTGTACATACTCTCTGGCAAAAAATAAAATAAAATAGAAATAAAAGAGAAGAGTCACCCACCACCCAGAAACCACCACCATTTCCACTTCAGAGTGTCTCCTCAGTGTTCGGTGTAGTTTCTCCCTAGTAGAGGTCTCAGAGTTTTGAATCCTGCATTTCCAGTTAATATAAAGGCACGTTCCAACATGACTAGCGGCCTGGTAGGTACAGTCTCTAAGAGGCCGGTGGTAGGGACTTCTGGAAAGTGCCCAAGCAGCAGTAACAGGACACGCACTGCCAGGGGCGGGTGGACTCCAGAGAAAGGATGGGATTCACCCTACATTGAGTAGGAAGTCTGGTAGATGGCCTGCAACCAGCCTCCATGCAGCTTTGGCCTCGGTAATGACCTCAGAGCCTGTCTGGATGGAGGCTGTGGGGTCAGGGCTGGAGGCTGCTGGTGAGAGGGCCCAGCCGGCACTGGACTCCATAGCACTGAGGTGCAGAGAGATGTCGTACCCGTCCATCTCTCACTCTTCAGGAACTGGCATCTGGGGCCAGAGTTCGCTGTCATCAGTTGGCCACTGCTGGGGAAGGTGAAGGCAAACAAGGTGACCTGAGGTCCGCAGGGCGTGGTCCCAAGATGGACCCCAGTGTTCCTCTGAAGTCCTGACTGGCTGGGCTAATATGGGCCTCAAGTTGGCCTTGGGAGCAGCTCCTCTACCTAGGGCAGTTGGCATAGGTAGCAGCAGGTCCAAGGCCCAGAACCTTGCCTGGGCTCTCCTTAAGGACTTTGGCCACGGACTCACAATTTAAATTAAGAAAGTAAAACATACAATGGGACCTCAAGAATGAAGTCTGGTCCACAGCCAAGCGGTCCATGAAGCGGATGAAGAAAGGGAGTTCTGACTTTGGGCCCAGCCATTCTCTGTACCAGGTTGGAGAAGGACTGGGCAGGGACATAGCAGAAAATAGCTCTGGATGGGAGTTTAGAAGTTTGGTTTACATGCAGTTATTAAAATGATTTTTATTACTATAAATGGAAACATATTGTAGAAAATTAGATAATACAAATAAGCAAAAAATATTACATTGTCGGGATCAGCAGTTGGCATAATGGCTGTCGCTGTACTCCCATGTAGTGGAGCGTGATTTGAGTCCTGGATCCAGTGGCTTAAACTCACGCTGGGCGCATGTGCGTGCGTGCCCAAGATCCCGAGAGGAGAATGGAGGAAAAGGGATTGCGGCGTGGCCATCCCCCCTGGGGGGTGATTTCTCACTTTCTGTCTCTTGATCTCTCTCTCTTTCTGGCATGAACACACACACCCTATAGAAAAAAATAAAACCCCCCCTTTAAAAGACAAACCCCTCTCAAAAAAAAAAAAATGACATCACCAACACCATTGTTAACAGTTTCTAGATGTTTTTAAAATTTTTTTGCCAGGGGACATATGCACTCACAGGAGAGAGAGAGACAAAGAGTGAAAACGAGAAAGCACCCCCATGGGTCATAGTCACACTGCAATCTCTTCTCGTCTCTTCCTCTCTCCTTTTGGGATTTTGGGCACACATGCACACCCTGGTGTGTTTTTCAAGCTGCCGAGTATGAGACACAAACTGCAGTCAGCCAACTGGGGTCCCGCTGCCTTCACCTCCACACCACCAGCTGGCCCTGAACTTGATTTTTAAAGTTAGTGCTGTCAGCCTTTCCATGTCGACATTGTCATTTCATCTAATAGTTGAAATACTCCATATTTAAATTTCCCCAACAGTTGGAGTAACATTTGTATTGGTTTCCCATGTCATTTTTTCCACCTGGTTATATCTCTTAAAAATTTTAAAGTTAAAAAAAAAAATAAAGGGACCAGCAGTTAGTGTAATGGCTATGTTGCTGGACTCCCCTGTAGTCAACTGCAGTTCAAGTCCCGGAACCACTGGCTAAATCTCACACCGGGAGTGTGTGCATGCGTGCCCAAGATCCCAAGAGAAGAATGGAGGAAAAGGGATTGCAGCATGGCCATTCCCCCTGGGGGGTGATTACTTGCTTTCTGTCTCTCGGTCTCTCTCTGTCTTTCCGGTGAGCGCACTTGCTCTATAGCAAAAGCTGCTCAAAAAAAATTTTTTTTAAGTTTATATTATTTTTTTCATGAGAGAGAGAGACAAAGAGGAAAGGAGAGAGAGAGAGAAAAAGTAGCTTTGGCATATCGTGACCCTCCCTCCAGTCTGCCAGCCAGCCAGCCAGGATCACCCTGCATTGAACCATGTGTGGGGGATTCGGGTCAACCCAGGATGCAGACCTGCTCTTCCATTCACTGTCATGCCCAGGCGTCTGCTCCCGGCCTCTCGCCTCTGCCATACCTGTCTTTCCACTCCACCATCCTCTCCTCTGTTCATCTTCTTGTTCCTTCCTCCAACTGTGACCCCCACACAGCCTGCCTGGTTAACATACCCTCAGAGAGCTCATTTGTTAAAGGCCGGGGTATTAGTATCATCTCATCGAGATGCCGCAGGGTGAAGTAAACTAAGAGACAGAGCACCTGGTAGAGAGAGCAGCTGGCCTAAGTCCAGAGCTCAGCCTTAGGGTTGGTGTCTCACCGCCTGCAACGCCATGGTTGGGCCTCTTAAATCTTTTACCCTAACAAAGTCCTCTTTTTTATATCCCAGACCTGTGGAGATCAGGCCACCATTCTGCAGAATAGTCCACTTTCTGATTTTTTCCCTTATTGCTTCCTTTGGTATCTTTTAGCTTGTTCCTCCATTTATAAATAGGATTGAAGATGGAAAGTCTTGGGCAGGCTCTGTGGCTAAGGGGACCCTATGGCTGACTGCATGGTGTCTCGAAAAACACTCAGGGTGCTTGTGCGTGTGTGCCCCAAATCCCAACACAGTGGAGAAATCTAGGAGAGGGGATTGTGGCGTGACCACATCCCACGGGAGGAGTGCTTGCTCCCTCCCCCTCTGCCTTTCTGACTCTCTGGTAAGCATATATACTTCCTGGGAATTTTTTAAAGAGAATTATTTTATTTAACTTTATTTATCTATTTATTTATTTTCATTTGACCAGAGAGGGACAGAGAGAGAGAGAGAGAGAGAAAGTGAGAAAACACACTGCCAGGTCCGGGACTCAAACTGTAGTCAGCCACGTGAGAGTCCAGGGCCCTTAACCTCCACACCACCTGCCGGCCCAACTTTCTGGAAAATTTTTTAAAAAGAAAAAAAAGTCTTGATGGATTTAAGTTAAACATTTTTTGGCTAGGGTACAGTACAAATGAAGTCATGTTTCTCCCATTGTTAAATAAGAATATAATAATACCTGGTGGCTCCACCATGAACGGTCTAAGATTAATCATTGAGTCCAACTCTGCAACTGAAAGTAGCCTTCACAGAAGCCAGGTGCAATGACACATGCATGTAGTCCCTGCTACTCCGGAGGCTGAGGCAAGGAACATCATGAGTTTGAGTCCGGCTTGGGCAACATCATGATATCCTATCTTTTTAAAAAAAAAATATTCGCAAGTCAGTTCTCTCTCGCTCGCTCTTTTTCTTTCTTTCTTTCTTTCTTTCTTTCTTTCTTTCTTTCTTTCTTTCTTTCTTTCTTTCTTTCTTCCTTCCTTCCTTCCTTCCTTCCTTCCTTCCTTCCTTCCTCCCTCCCTCCCTCCCTCTCTCTCTCTCTCTTTCTTTCTTTCTTTCTTTCTTTCTTTTTTGAGGGAGATTTTTGCTATAGGGCATGTGTGCTCAGCAGAGAGCCAAAGAGACACTGAAAAAGTGAGAAATCATCCCCAGGGGGATGATCACCTGCAAACCCTTCTCCTCCATTCTTCCCTCGGGATTTGGACATGCACACACATGCACCTGGCGTGAATTTTAAGCCACTGAACTCAAACCACAGTCGACTACATGGCAGTCCAGCACTATGCCACCTGCTGGTCCCCATTGGTCAGTTCTTAATTAAAACTTGGCAATGGTGTTTGCAAATAGTCTAGCAGCAAAGTACTGGGAACTGGGTCATCAGACCTGAGAAGGGGGTGGGGAGGACTCAGAGTCTGAAGCCAGAGGTGCAGAGCATGTGGGTCAGGTCCCAACTGTGCCCCTAAGCGGGCAGCTCATTTCCTTCCTCTGGCCTAGACAAGAGTCTTCATCTGTAACAGGGGCAGTAGCATCTCCTGGCCTCACAGGTGCTCTGTGAGAACAGGGTAAGGGACACAGGTGGAAAGCACAACCACCAAACCCCCGGATGTTACACACTTGGATGCCTTACTACGTGGGGTGTTGCCAGGATTTCCTCTTTCTTTTTTTCAGATTCTTTAAGGAAACTTTCTCGAAAACCAAAACCCAAGAGAAAGAGGATTAAGGAAGTCCCAGAAACTCCAGAGACCTGCCCATAAGAAGCCCTGCGGGGACAGAGGCCAGCCCCGCACTTAGCACTGTCTCCAACACCTCTGTACCTGGGACTTGGGGGCCCATAGGAGAAAGAAGAAATTGTTCTTATAAAAAGATGCTCAAGTCTTGATTACGAATATGTGGGGTGGGAAATAAACATCCTCAAGATAGTCATCATTCATTTATTGCTTTTTTTAAAATGAATTATTTAATTTTATTATTTTTAGAGAGGCCCTTGCCAGAAAGACAGAGAGAGACAGAAAGCAAGAAATCACCCTCCGGGGGGATGGGGGGATGGCCACACCTCAATCCCTTCTCCTCCATTCTCCTCTCAGGATCTTGGGCACACACACACATACCCAGCATGAGTTTAAGCCACCGGGTCCGGGATTCAAACCATGGTCGACTACATGGGAGTCCAGCGACATAGCTATTCTGCCAACCGCTGGTCCCTAATTTTATTAATTATTATTATTATTTTAAAATTTGCTATAGGGTA